ACCACATTGATACACTGCCACCCTAAAGTTAAACCCCCACAACCTGGCAAAAAATATTTTGGACAAACCCAAAACCATTGGTGAATTAATAAAAAGCTCACTGTGCACACGTTATGACCCCACCAAAACCCTTCAATAACATCAACATTCTGGGTATATATATATATATATATATATATATATATATATATATGTGTGTGTGTGTATATAATTTGTATGTTGATGCAGTGTTGTTCAATGTGAACGAGGTTATTACTTTTGTAACTATTGAGGAGTGCTAAAATACTAGACACTAAACTTCAAGTCTCTCGTGAGACTTAATGTCCTTAGAATTCTTAACTAACACAGTGGTAAAGTTTTCTGTGATCTTGGTTTGATTTGGAGCAGGGGTATGTGGCAGAAACAGTTGAAACAATTGCACCGTGCTTGTGTCTTATCGTTGCTATATACTCAAGTTCAAGTATAACAAAGGGGAGTGGTGGCACAGAGAATAGAGAAGGTGGGCCTGTGATCAGGAGGTTGCCGGTTCAACTCCCGGTACCGTCAACATCAAAATGTGGGCGGGAAAGGTGAAGCGCCCACACCTGCCCCCACCCTCATTTGCCCCACTCTGGACCCCTGAGCAAGGCCCTTAACCCCCACCCCAGGCGCCCTAGGTGGCAGCTCTCTGCTCCACACAGAGGGCTGTGGTAGCTCGGCGGTCTGTGGTTGTATCAGGAAGGACTTCCGGTGTAAAAACAATTGTCAAGTCTTCTTACGACTTAGTTTGCTGTGGTGATCCCTGTTGAAGAGAGCAGCTGAAAGAAGAAAAAATAATTTCCCTTCAGATATTGTTTTTGTCTAATTTAGGATTAATTAGTTAGTTCAATTTGCATGTAGTTTACAAAACTACATATATAACATTTCTCTAAGGATTAATAAAAATTGCAATGTGTGCATCCACTGCATTTAACAAAAACAAAAACTAAGACAAAAGTGAAGAGAAAAAACACTCAATTTAGTGGCAGATGATAATGAACTATAATTTTCAATGGAAAAAAGCTAGAGTATTTACGCAATATATATATATATTATTATATCAGCATGGCTGAAAGGATAGCACCTAATCTCTGCCCAAGGGCCAAGAGGGTAATAAAGTGTTTATGTGAGATTGTGAATGTCCACATGTGTGTAATCAATTTAAAATTCAACCCTTGCAGGTCTACCAACCTATAATACCCCCTTAAATAAATCTGGTCATGCAGAGACATTGCAGTCAGATGAAAAGTGGTGGTGTGAAGGGCATGAAAAATCTGGTTTTATTCTGACATAAAATAAAGAAAGAAATCTCTCCCCTAGAAAAAAGAAACACCATTTCAAAAGCTTAAACTTATGTGGGAAGCATTGTGAAACACGTCAACATGAACAAGGCTGCCTGTGTTTGTGGAGGCTGAAGGCTGTCTGTTTGGGACATATGCCCAGACATGGGAGCTCTTCCTGGGGCAAGGCACACACACACACATGGTCCTCCCACTTCCTCTACTTCACTCCCCTTCCTTCTGTGCCCAGAAAGACAGAGAATCAAACAAGGGAAAGAGCAACCAGGCATGCAAAACCAATCTGTTCAGCCTACTGCTCATCACATGTGGCAAGGACAAGGTTAAATGGTATGCAAGAATAAAGGAAACAACGTTGAAGGATTCTCTGAGAGATGAGGAACTGTGCCCCTTTTCGGACCCAGGACTGTTGGCTGACCACAGGCATAGGACTTGAGAAATGGAGGTGTTCAACTGATGGATGAGCCATGTGTTCAGAGAAAGCCAACATAGAGTGTATCTGTCATTGGGGAGATGGATGGGCAGGAAAGCATGAGTGTACACTGTATATTCATTGGCAGATACACACAAGCCAGCAGACACTCACAAAAGATCCACCACGTTTTTATTGTTTTCCAAGAGACAGTGATACACAAACAAACACACATTGACACCAGTACCAAGTGACACACTTCCTTTTAACACCTTAACATTTTTTCAATTAGTATTTATTTCCCGCAACGCTCTTTTTATTATCGCCCATGTCAAAACCAAAACAACAATGCTTTTGCCCTGTGTGTTTGCATATGAGCTTCTCTGTGTTCTTTTGCACCACCGAACACATATTTTATTTATTTACTTGTATTTAGACGATAATCTTATCGAGACAGGCAGTCTCATTGACAAGACACAGACACATAAAACCAGTTACATGGAATAAAACAACAATCATAAAACATGGCAAGGTTAAAAGGGAGCAGAGTATAACAAAACAAAAGAATAAGACACGGTCTGAATCAATGTTTTCTTTTTCTTTTTCTTTCTTTTATTTTAAGATAACATTTTCAAAATTTTAAACGTTTTTACATGACAATCAAACTCTGATTAATGAAAATCCCTTACACAAGGGGGGAAATAAATAAATGAACAGACCAACAACAAAAACAATAATAAACTAAACTAAAATATAAAACAAAATAACAGTGCCATCGTATGTAACAAATAAAGCAAGGCACCTCTGCATCACGGCTAGCAACCGCAAGTACTCGTCTGTGTGGGTGGGTTTGTGGTACACCTCAGTTTACAAATGTCCTCCATCAGAGAAAAATACCTCACAGTCCAAGAAAGCCAACTTGCCATCTTTTGTATCTTCTTTTGTGAACTTTATATATTTATCCACAGAGTTGATGTGATCAGCTGGACTTCCTGAGATTTAATTTTAACCCAGGTGTCATCAACAAACCTGAACCAAAGACTCGGTGGTGTCCCTAAAAAGGACACCAAGGCTCTCTTTTCTACATCCTCCAGGTACAGGTTGGCAACAATAGGAGAAACTAGAGACCCATATGACAGTGAGAAAACTGAAGGAATATAAGGAGATGTGATGTAGTGCAAAGAGGGATGTAGCTAAGGCAAAGCAGAAGGCGCATGACGAGTTGTATGGGAAGCTGGACATTAAAGAGGGGGAGAAGGACTTGTACCGATTGGCAAGACTGAGGAATCAGGCTGGAAAGGATGTGCAGCAGGCGAGGCGTATTAAAGGTATGAACGGTAATGTTCTAACAAGTGAGGAGAGTGTTACAGGAAAATGGAAGGAGTACTTTGAAGAGCTAATGAATGAAGAGAATGAAGAGAATGAAAAAGAAAGAAGAGTAGAGGTCATAGAAACTGTGGACCAGGTAGTGGGAAAGATTAGTGAGGGAGAAGTCCGGAAAGCTCTGAAAAGAACAAATGAGGGGAAGACAGTAGGACCTGATGACATATCACTGAAGGTTTGGAAATTTCTTGGAGAAATGGCAGTGAAGTTTTTGACTCAAATATTCAATGGCATATTTGAGGGTGAGAAAATGCCTGAGGAATGGAGAAGAAGTGTGCTGGTGCCCATTTTTAAGAATAAGGTACAATGTACAAAGTTATAGCAACTACATGGGAATTAAGTTGATGAGTCACACAGTGAGAGAGAGATGGAGAGAGTTGTGGAAGCAAGACGTAGACGAGAGGTGACCATTTGTGAGCAGCAGTATGGTTTCATGCCAAGAAAGAGCAAGCTTCCGATCACAGGCGCACCTTCTCTAGCCTCTCTACGCCACCACTCCCCTCCAAGGGTGGTGGCGTAGAGGTGTGTGTTTACCATTTATTTTTTAATATTCAACTTAAAGTCAGTTTGATTTGAATGATAAAAGCTCCTTTTTATATGCATAGTGAATATTGTCTTCAAGTGTAAAACAAGCAGTGCTGTGTAAAATTACTGGTTTGCACATGTGAACTACTCCCTCATGTGTGGGTGAAGGCTGGAGAGCATGAGTGAGCACAGCTGAACATGTTCTATATAGCCAACTTGTCACCTTTCTGGGGGGATTAATGGCTGAATATTGCTGACGCAGCTGCTGGTTAAAATACAGTAGTGATCATTTACAGCAGGATGCTAACCTCTCTGTGGCTGTCTGAGAGGACCACCCCCCCACCCCCCACCCCCCATCGCCCCCAGCCATTTGGATGCTGGAGCAGCTCTATTTCTATAGAGAAGCTGTCATATCTGATAGAGTTTGGAAATGATGTCTCAGTTATTCTTTTAGACATTTTTTGTGTAATCTAACTTCCGTCTTTTGCAGCTTCTCCTTTTTGTGGCTAATTTACAATATGGCTCAATATGCTTTGTTCAGTTTAATCAATTTAATCAATCTTTTTATGTTGGATTGATCATTTCTTCAGTGTGGGATAAATAAAGTTATTCATTTTTATCTTATAAATTAATTATTCATAAAACGTTGCAGAAATATAAAGTCATTACAACGCATACAGCTTTTGAATATTTTTGGCCAATAGTTCAGTTTTTAATCAGATATATATAAAACATCAACATTAAAATGGAGACAAAATTATATCTTCTAATGTTTTATCCTCTGAGTACATTATTCACTGTCACATTAGGCCTGTCATGATCCTTTTCTTTTGGGTTATTGTTTAGTATTTCTGTGATTCTGGTGTTTTGTTTTACTTTATTTCCAACTTCCCCAGAGTTTTCCCCGTCATGTGGTTCAGCCCATGCCCCACCCACTCTCACTTGACTCTTAGTGTCTCCCCCAGGTGTTGCCATTTTTTCCTCATTAGTTTCTCTTTAAAGCTTGTGTTCTTTATCTCATTTGTGTCCATGCATTGTGCTTGTAAACTATTTATGGGTTTCTCCCTCGACTTATATTGAGTTTTTGAATCTTTCAGAGAGTATTTTTGCTTCCACCTCAGCCCCTTGTTTTTGCTTTTGTTAATAAATGACTTTAATTTTTACCCCTGAGCCTTTTGAGTTTTGTCTGCACCCTGGGTTCAGCTCCTCACTAAACATGACAATACCATGAAATTAAGAACATATGAATATGAAACATATAAAAATAATTTGTGTAAACCGACGCAAATGGATATAGAAAAACAAACGTGGAAGTATTTTTGAGCTAGTCCTAATCTTTCCTTTTTGTTTTTGTGTCTTTGCAGGTTACCTGTATGTTACCTGTCTCATCCAGAACTGCTCGAATAAAATGGTGACTGCTCAGTTTCTTGGGAAAATTGATCACAACTTTCTGGTGGTCCAAGATGACTACATATTTGTGAAGGTAAATGTCACTACAAGAGGGCAGGTCCAGAGATTTGTGTTGGAATATACAACAATTGTCTTTAACAAAAAAAACAAAAGGGAAATGCCTTTACTGTATCTGTAAATTTTTGTGTAAACCCTTGAAGCACGGCTTCCAGATGCCCTCGACAACTCTGTGGCTACTTTGAGAGTAAAGTTGTTGCACACATTTTTCACTGTTTAAAATTCAGTGACATGAGAGTGAGGCGCTGCGACTCATCCATAGAAATTAGGAACCCTCAGGATTATTTCAAGACATTTTGAGAAATCCTTTCAGAATGCTGTTTGCATTTTGTTGCCAGCAGTTGCTGCCCAGTTATATACAGGCTTGATATTTAATGGTCCTGTAGACATGAAAAATGATGAAAACTGTCCCGCAACAAATCAGTTTCTTTACTCAGTTTTTTTTTTTTTTTTTTTGTCTCAAGACCATTCATCTTTTAGTGTAAGTGCAAAGAATAATATACAAAATAGAAAATAATAATAAGCAGTGGTGGGCACAGCTAACCAAAAAATTAGCTTTGTTAACTTCTAGTTTGCTAACAAAAATAAATTAGTTTTGCTAATGCAAACTACACAGATTAAAAAAACTAGCAGATGCTAAAGCGCTAACTTTTATCATACACTTCTGTCGCTGACACCAAGACTGTCTGTAATGTGGCATTGTTGTAAGTGAACACAACTTAAAACGGTTTGTAAATCACAAGTAAAACCTCCATGTCTCAAACCAGCCGATCAAAGCAGATGGCCGCTTGTCCTCAGCCTGGTTCTGCTGGAGGTTTCTCCCTGTTTAAAGGGAGTTTTTTCTTTCCACTGTTGCCACTGTGCTTGCTCAGGATGGGAGACTGCAACAAAGCCAAGATTCAACTTTTCTGCTGGATTCCTTAGATAGAGAACTTTACTAATTGGCTTTAATGTGAATGTTCCTGTAAAGTGCCCTGAGACAACTTTGTTGTGATTTGACGCTTTATAAATAAACTGAATTGAATTGAATTGAAAATGTCCTGTTCAGAGGTGAGCTTTCAGAAATGAATCCAGTCCACACGACTAAAGAGGCAGAGCAGAGTGATGCATTCAATGTGTGTGGGACGTCTCCCTTGTGTCATTTACTTTAATGAATTAACACTTTTATAAACTAACTACAAAGTTGCTGTGCATCATCAATGTTCTCTCTGTAATAAATCTGTTTGTATTAAAGTCAAGATGTGTGAAATGTGTGAGAGAGTCACGTCCCAGAGACAGTGTGAACATTGCAAAGCACACTAGGAATAATATGTGCAATGTTTCTGACTGTTTAAAGTGTTTCTGAGTGTAAAAATGCATTTTTCGTGTTAATTTCCTCCTCTGGATTGGTTTGGCCTTTATGTTAAAGTCACTGTTATTGGCTGTAAACTGACAATATGAGTTAGAGACTGTTTGTGGTAGATATGAGGAGGGAAAAAAGCACCTGCAAGGATGGTGACATAACCAGGTGGGGCTTACCTATGCTTATCTGCATAGAATTGCTCCATGTAAGTCACAATTCTCTTGTGTACTTTTAGTATGAAGAACTGTCAAATAACTTCAGCAGACTTGAATTTGCTGGATTTAAATTTAGAGAAAGGTAATTTCGCTAAAGTTATTCAAAGTTACCAAAAACGCTAATCCACTAAACAGAATATTATCTGCTATTAGTGGATTACTGGGACCATGCCCACCATTGACAATAAAGAATAAAGATGGATTTGTAACTTGGACTTGTCGTGATAATGTTTGATCATACTGCTATTTCCAGGTCAGTTTTACTTTAGAGAATGTTTAAGCAACAGGAGGTACAATATAGTTGTGTCACATTAAACACCCCCAAAGTAGTGAGATGCCAAAGTTTAAAATTACATACAGGTACAGATCAGAAAATTAGAATATCTTAGAAGTTCTTTCTGTTTTTTTTTTTTTTGTCAATTATTTCAGAAAGTGAAACTCATTACATAGATTCATTACACATAAAGCGACACATTTCAAGCCTTTTTTTTCTTGTCATTTTGATGACTATGACTTACAGGAAATTAAAAAACAAAACTCAGACTCTCAGGAAATTAGAATATTGTGAAAAAGTTCAATATTGGAAACTCCTGTTGTCAGACCCCAATTAGCAAATTATCTGAAAACACCTGCAAAGATTTACTGAGCCTTTAAATGGTCTTTTATTCTGGGTCAGAAGGCCACACAATCATGGGGAAGACTGCTGATATGACAGATGTCCAGAAGACATTGACACCCTCCTTAGGGATGAACAACCACAGAAGGTTAATTAAAGAAGCTGTTTGTTCACAGAATTCTGTATCCAAGCACATTCATAGAAAGTTAAGTGGAAGGAGAAAGTGTGGTAGGAAAAGGCGCACCAGCTACATGGATAACTGCAGCCTTGAGAGGACTGTCAAGCAAAATCCATTCAAGAATTTGAGGGAACTTCATGAGAAGTGTACTGACGCTGGAGTCAGCTCATCTATGCACAGAAAAACCCTAGACATGAGCTACAAATATCTCATTCCTCAAGTCAAGCCACTCCTGAACCAGAGCCAACATCAGAAGCATCTTATCTGGCTGAGGAGACAAAGGACTGGACTGTTGCTCAGTGGCCCAATGTCCTTTTTTCAGATGAAAGTAAATTTTGAATTTCATCTGAAAATCAAGGTCCCAGAGTCTGGAGGAAGAGAGGAGAGGTCCAGAATCCACGTTGCTTAAAGTCCAGAGTGAAGTTTCCATAGTCAGTGATGGTTTGGGTCCATGTTCTCTGCTGGTGTTGGTCCACTGTGTTTTCTGAAGTCCACAGTCAATGCAGCATCTAGCAGGACAATTTAGAGTTTTCATGCTTCCTTCTGCTGATGAGCTTTATGGAGATACTGATTTCATTTTCCAGCAGGACTTGGCTCCTGCCCACACTGACAAAGGTACCAAAAGCTGGTTCAATGACCATGTTGTTGCTTAACTGGCCAGCAAACTTATATGGTCTGAACCCCATCGAGAATCTATGGGCTATTGTCAAGGGTAAGGTGAGAGACACGAGACCAAATAAAGTAGATTACCTGAAGACCACTATCAAAGCAACATGGGCTTCCATTACACCTCAGCAGCGCCACAGGCTAATCACCTCCATGCCACGCCACGTCAGTGCAGTAATTCATGCAAAAGGAGGCCTAACCAAATATTGAATTAATAGAAAGGAACATACTTTTCAAAAGCCTGGCATTTGTTTTAAAAATATCATTTTTAATCTTATGTAGTACTCTTAATTTTCTAAGACATTTGAGTTTTATTTTTTTATTATCTGTAAGCCATAATCATGAAAATTACAAGAAATAAATGCTTGAAATGTTCCACTTTGTGTAATGATTCTATATGTTTCACTTTCTGGAATGACTGACAAAAAAAATGAACATTTGTTCCATAATATTTTGTTTTTTGAACTGTGCCTGTATCATGTGCATGAGGTTGGATTGATGTGGTGTGACAGGCAAACCTCAACAAAGATTTTTAACATTCTAAATATACTATAATTGTAATCATGTCTTATTTATTTATAATCCTGATTGTGTACTTTAATATCAACTCCACACCAATTAGGTCAGTGAGTGAGTTTAAATTGTTGTCCATGGTTTGTGATAATCTGTAGAAAAATGCCACAAATTCTTCATACTCCTTAAAAATATCTGATTGTTAAAAACAGCATTTGTGCTTAAACATGGAAATTTAACAACCATAGCTTCTTGACATTTACATAATGTTTAAAGTTTTGCAACTATTATCGTGAAATTAAACTGAAACAGCAACGTTTTTTTTTTTTTTTTATTCATTGGTGACAGTGAATTAAAGTTGCATTATGAACAAGACAATTTAGCTGAATTATGTTTGGACTGTTTTTGTCCTGTTGAGCTCTCTGAATTGTCAAAAATAATAGCTTCATCCAAACCATCCACATGTCTGCTAGGTCCATTCCATTCTTTCATTTTAAACCTGTTTCTAGCAAATATGCCTCACAAATTCCCTGGTACAGGTGTATTCGCTGACATTTTGAGTGATCATTGTGTGACAGTGACTCTAAGAGATATTAAACTTCCACCTTTTAAGCCCAGATTAATTAAAAAAAGGGATCTAAAACGTTTTTGTGAACAGTCATTCATCTGGGATATATCCCACTTTGACTGGCATCATGTTCTTTTAACTGATGACGTGAACTCCGCTTGGAACTATTTTCATAATAGTTTCATTTTTTTCGTGAACAAACGTGTTCCTTTTCGTCAGTTCAGAATAAAGGTACGGGACAGACCCTTGTTTACTCCAGAGCTAGCTGACCTCCTGCACAGGAGAGATCATCTTTGGGCTGCAGCGAGAAAATCTGACTCAGACACTGATTAGTTGAGTTTTCAACAGATGAGGAATAAATGCACAACTGCTGTCAAAACAACAAAACTTTATTTCTTATCTCAGACCTCCAAAAATCTAAATGACCCTAACAGATTCTGGAAAACCTTCAAATCTCTCTCAGGCACCCTCCAATCATCTGACCTCCCATCACAACTTCTCAGTAACTCTGTTCCTGTGTCAAATAAGCACGAGATCTAGAACTGTTTCAACAAACATTTTGTTGCTTCTAGTTCTTTATTTGACACAGTAACTAATGGAAGATCAGCCACTTCACTTAATAACCAAACTTCTACAAATCAAATCCCTCCTACAAGTCAATCCTCAGTTAATCACACCTTCTCTTTTTCTCCATTCTTAGGCAGTGAGGCTAATTTTTTATTTTTTTTTATTTTTTTTATTTATTTATTTATTTATTTTTTTTACCCTTTGTTTATCCAGGTAGTCTCATTGAGCCACAAGAACTCATTTTCAAGAGAGACCTGCTTAGGGAGCAGATGGGGGTTAAGGGCCTTGCTCATGGGCCCAGAGTGAGTCGAATGAGGGTGGAGTGTGGGTGCTTAACCTACCCCACCCGCA